GCTTTAGACCACTCAAGAATCTTAACCAATGAAAGATCTTTGTCTTACATTTAGTTTATGAAAACTAAAAAAATATAATGACTCAATAAAATTACATTATCAGAAGTGGGATTCGAACCCACGCCCAAACCGAGTGGACTTCGACATGAACGCAGCACCTTTCACCGCTTCGCCATCCTGAAATTTGAGAAAACCTTTCCTTTTATTTACTTTATGAGAACTAAATAAAATAACTCAACTAAATATAATTGCTCGACGTGGGAGTTGGACCTCCGAACGCGCAAGTGTACCGCGACCTGATTGCAGCGCCTTAGACCACTCGGCCATCCTAACACGTGCGAGAGCGTTTTCTTACATTTAAGTTATGAGAACTAAAAAAAAAAAGTCTGAATAAAATTACATTATCAGAAGTGGGATTCGAACCCACGCCCAAACCGAGTGGACTTCGACATGAACGCAGCACCTTTGACTGCTTGGCCAGCCTGAAATTTGAGAAAACGTTTCCTTTAATTTACTTTATAAGAACTAAAAAAAATAACTCTACTAAATATAATTGCTTGACGTGGGATTTGGACCCCCAAGCACGCAACTAGACTGCGACCTGATTGCAGCGCCTTAGACCGCTCGGCCATACAGACACGTGCGAGAGCACTTTATTACATTTAAGTTATGAGAACTAAAAAAATGACTGAATAAAATTCTATTGTCAAAAGTGGGATTCGAACTCACGCCCACAGAAGTGGAATGTGATCTAAACGCAGCGCCTTAGACCGATCGGCCAACCTGACATGTGAAAGAGTTTCCCCTTACATTTAGTTTTTGGAACCTAAGAAAAGTATGTGAATAAATTTTTATTTTCAGAAGTGGGATTCGAACCCAAGCACACAGAAGTGGACTGCGACCTGAATGCAGCGCCATAGACCGCTCGGCCATCCTGACACGCAAAATAGCTTTCCCTTGCATGTAGTTTTTAACCTCAAAAAATGACTGAAAAAATACATTGTCAGAGGTGGGATTCAAACCCACGCCCACGCAAGTGGACTAAGACCTGATTGCAGCGCCTTAAACCGCTCGGCCATCCTGACACGCAAAAAAGCTTTCCCCTTGCATTTAGTTCTTTAACCTCACAAAATGACTGAATAGCAATACATTGTCAGTTGTGGGATTCAAACCCACGCCCACTCAAGTGGACTGCGACCTGAACGCAGCGCCTTAGACCGCTCGGCCATCCTGATACGTGGGAGATTGTTTCCTTTCATTTAATTAATGAGAACTTAAAAAATGAATGAATGAAATATAATTGTCAAACGTGAAATCCGAAACCACGCCTGCAGAATTTTATTGCAACGCAGCGCTGGATACCACTCAGGAATCTTAACCTATGAAAGATCTTGCCTGTTTATGAAAACTAAAAAAAAATAATGACTCAATAAAATTACATAATCAGAAATGGGATTCGCACCTAAAACCGAGTGGACTTCGACATGAACGCAGCACCTTTAACCGCTTGACCAGCCTCAAATTTGAAAAAACGTTTCCTTTAATTTACTTTATGAGAACTAAAAAAAAAAAAAATAACTAAATATACCTATTTGACCCCCGAACACGCAAGTGGACTTCGGCGATCCTGACCTGCGAGAGCGTTTCCTAACATTTAGTTTATGAAAAAAATAAAAAAATTCTATTGTCAGAAGTGGGATTCGAACCCACGCCCACAGAAGTGGAAGGTGATCTAAACGCAGCACCTTAGACCGATTGGCCAACCTGACATGTGAAAGAGTTTTTTCCTTACATTTAGTTTTGGAACCTAAGAAAAGTATGTGAATAAAATTTTATTGTCAGATGGGATTCGAACCCACGCCCACAAAAGAGGACTGCCACCTGAACGCAGCGCCTTAGACCGCTCGGCCATCCTGACACGTGGGAGAGTGTTTCCTTTCATTTATCTAATGAGAACTCATAAAAATGAATGAATGAAATATAATTGTCAAATGTGGAATCCGAAACCAAGTCTGCAGAATTTTACTGCGACCTGAACGCAGCGCTTTAGACCACTCAAGAATCTTAACCTATGAAAGATCTTTTTGCCTTTACATTTAGTTTATGAAAACTAAAAAAATAATGACTCAATAAAATTATATTATCAGAAGTGGGATTCGAACCCACGCCAAAACCGAGTGGACTTCGACATGAACGCAGCACCTTTCACCGCTTCGCCATCCTGAAATTTGAGAAAACGTTTCCTTTTATTTACTTTATGAGAACTAAATAAAATAACTCAACTAAATATAATTGCTCGACGTGGGAGTTGGACCTCCGAACGCGCAAGTGTACCGCGACCTGATTGCAGCGCCTTAGACCACTCGGCCATCCTAACACGTGCGAGAGCGTTTTCTTACATTTAAGTTATGAGAACTAAAAAAAAAAGTCTGAATAAAATTACATTATCAGAAGTGGGATTCGAACCCACGCCAAAACCGAGTGGACTTCGACATGAACGCAGCGCCTTTGACCGCTTGGCCATCCTGAAATTTGAAAAATGTTACCTTTAATTTACTTTATGAGAACTAAATAAAAATAACTCAACTAAATATAATTGCTCGACGTGGGAGTTGGACCTCCGAACGCGCAAGTGTACCGCGACCTGATTGCAGCGCCTTAGACCACTCGGCCATCCTAACACGTGCGAGCGTTTTCTTACATTTAAGTTATGAGAACTAAAAAAAAAAAGTCTGAATAAAAATTACATTATCAGAAGTGGGATTCGAACCCACGCCAAAACCGAGTGGACTTCGACATGAACGCAGCACCTTTGACCGCTTGACCAGCCTGAAATTTGAAAAAAAGGTTTCCTATAATTTACTTTATGAGAACTAAAAAATAACTCAACTAAATATAATTGCTCGACGTGGGATTTGGACCCCCGAGCACGCAACTGGAGTGCGACTTGATTGCAGCGCCTTAGACCGCTCAGCCATCCAGACACGTGCGAGAGCACTTTATTACATTTAAGTTATGAGAACTAAAAAAAATGACTGAATAAAACTCTATTGTCAAAAAGTGGGAGTGGAACCCACGCCCACAGAAGTGGAATGTGATCTAAACGCAGCGCCTTAGACCGATCGGCCAACCTGACATGTGAAAGAGTTTTCCTTACATTTAGTTTTTGGAACCTAAGAAAAGTATGTGAATAAAATTTTATTGTTAGAAGTGGGATTAGAACCCACGCCCACAGAAGTGGACTGCGACCTGAACGCAGCGAATTAGACCGCTCGGCCATCCTGACACGCAAAATAGCTTTCCCTTGCATGTAGTTTTTTAACCTCAAAAATGACTGAAAGAAATACATTGTCAGAAGTGGGATTCTAACCCACGTCCACGCAAGTGGACTAGGACCTGATTGCAGCGCCTTAAACCGCTCGGCCATCCTGACACGCAAAAAGCTTTCCCTTGCATGTAGTTTTTTAACCTCAAAAAATGACTGAAAGAAATACATTGTCAGTAGTGGGATTCGAACAAACGCCCACGCAAGTGGACTACGACCTGATTGCAGCGCCATAGACCGCTCGGCCATCCTGACACGCAAAATAGCTTTCCCTTGCATGTAGTTTTTAACCTCAAAAAATGACTGAAAAATACATTGTCAGAAGTGGGATTCAAACCCACGCCCACGCAAGTGGACTAAGACCTGATTGCAGCGCCTTAAACCGCTCGGCCATCCTGACACGCAAAAAAGCTTTCCCTTGCATTTAGTTATTTAACCTCAAAAAATGACTGAATAGCAATGCATTGTCAGAAGTGGGATTCGAACCCACGCCCACAGAAGTGGAATGTGATATAAACACAGCTCCTCAGACCGATCGGCCATCCTGACATGTGAAAGAGTTTTCCCTTACATTTAGTTTTTGGAACCTAACAAAAGTATGTGAATAAAATTTTATTGTCAGAAGTGGGATTCGAACCCATGCCCAAAGAAGTGAACTGCGACCTGAACGCAGCGCCTTAGACCGCTCGGCCATCCCGACACGCAGAATAGCTTTCACTTGCATAAAGTTTTTTTAACCTCAAAAAATGACTGAAAGAAATACATTGTCAGAAGTGGGATTCGAACCAACACCCACGCAAGTGGACTACGACCTGATATCAGCGCCTTAAACTGCTCGTCCAACCTGACACGCAAAAAAGTTTCCTTGCATTTAGTTCTTTAACCTCTAAAAATGACTGAATAGAAATGCATTGTCAGAAGTGGGATTCGAACCCACGCCCACACAAGTGGACTGCGACCTGAACGCAGCGCCTTGACCGACCACGGCCATCCTGACACGTGGGAGAGTGTTACCTTTCATTTAAATAATGAGAACTTAAAAAATGAATGAATGAATTATAATTGTCAAACGTGAAATCCGAAACCACGCCTGCAGAATTTTACTGCGAACTGAACGCAGCGCTTTAGATCACTCAGGAATCTTAACCTATGAAAGATCTTTGCCTTACATTTAGTTTATGAAAACTAAAAAAAAATTAATGACTCAATAAAATTACATGATCAGAAGTGGGATTCGAACCCACGCCAAAACCGGAAGGACTTCGACATGAACGCAGCGCCTTTGACCGCTTGGCCATCCTGAAGTTTGAGAAAACGTTACCTTTAATTTACTTTATGAGAACTAAATAAAATAACTCAACTAAATATAATTGCTCGACGTGGGAGTTGGACCTCCGAACGCGCAAGTGTACCGCGACCTGATTGCAGCGCCTTAGACCACTCGGCCATCCTAACACGTGCGAGAGCGTTTTCTTACATTTAAGTTATGAGAACTATAAAAAAGTCTGAATAAAATTTTATTGTTAGAAGTGGGATTCGAACCCACGCCCACAAAAGAGGACTGCGACCTGAACGCAGCGCCTTAGACCGCTCGGCCATCCTAACACGTGGGAGAGTGTTTCCTTACATTTAAGTTATAAGAATTAAAAAAAAAAATGACTGAATAAAATTCTATTGTCAGAAGTGGGACTCGAACCCACGCCTACAGAAGTGGAATGTGATCTAAACACAGCGCCTCAGACCGATCGGCCATCCTGACATGTGAAAGAGTTTTTCCTTACATTTAGTTTTTGGAACCTAAGGAATGTATGTGAATAAAATTTTATTGTCAGAAGTGGGATTCGAACCCACGCCCACAAAAAAGAGGACTGCCACCTGAACGCAGCGCCTTAGACGGCTCGGCCATCCTGACACGTGGGGAGAGTGTTTCCTTTCATTTATCTAATGAGAACTTATAAAAATGAATGAATGAAATATAATTGTCAAATGTGGAATCCGAAACCAAGCCTGCAGAATTTTACTGCGACCTGAACGCAGCGCTTTAGACCACTCAAGAATCTTAACCTATGAAAGATCTTTGCCTTACATTTAGTTTATGAAAACTAAAAAAAAATAATGACTCAATAAAATTATATTATCAGAAGTGGGATTCGAACCCACGCCAAAACCGAGTGGACTTCGACATGAACGCAGCACCTTTCACGGCTTCGCCATCCTGAAATTTGAGAAAACGTTTCCTTTTATTTACTTTATGAGAACTAAAAAAAAAAAATAAACTAAATATAATTGCTCGACGTGGGCCATCCAGACACGTGCGAGAGCATTTCTTACATTTAAGTTATAAGAATTAAAAAAATGACTGAATAAAATTCTATTGTCAGAAGTGGGACTCGAACCCACGCCCACAGAAAGGGAATGTGATCTAAACACAGCGCCTCAGACCGATCGGCCATCCTGACATGTGAAAGAGTTTTCCCTTACATTTAGTTTTTGGAACCTAAGAAAAGTATGTGAATAAAATTTTATTGTCAGAAGTGGGATTCGAACCCATGCCCAAAGAAGTGGACTGCGACCTGAACGCAGCGCCTTAGATCGCTCGGCCATCCCGACACGCTGAATAGCTTTCACTTGCATAAAGTTTTTTAACCTTAAAAAATGATTGAAAGAAAAACATTGTCAGAAGTGGGATTTGAACCCACGCCCACACAAGTGGACTGCGACCTGAACGCAGCGCCTTAGACCGCTCGGCCATCCTGACTCGTGGGAGAGTGTTACCTTTCATTTAATTAATGAGAACTTATAAAATGAATGAATGAAATATAATTGTCAAACGTGAAATCGAAACAACGCCTGCAGAATTTTTACTGCGACCTGAACGCAGCGCTTTAGACCACACAGGTATCTTAACCTATGAAAGATCTTTGCCTTACATTTAGTTTAAGAAAACAAAAAAAAATAATGACTCAATAAAATTACATTATCAGAAGGGGGATTCGAACCCACGCCAAAACCGAGTGGACTTCAACATGAACGCAGCACCTTTGACTGCTTGGCCAGCCAGAAATTTGAAAAACGTTTCCTTTAATTTACTTTATGAGAACTAAAAAAATAACTATATATAATTGCTTGACGTGGGATTTGGACCCCGAACACGCAAGTGGACTGCGACCCTGATTGCAGCGCTTTTTAGACCGCTCGGCGATCCTGACACGTGCGAGAGCGTTTCCTAACATTTAAGTTATGAGAACTAAAAAAAAATGATTGAATAAAATTCTATTGTCAGAAGTGGGATTCGAACCCACGCCCACAGAAGTGGAAGGTGATCTAAACGCAGCACCTTAGACCGATTGGCCAACCTGACATGTGAAAGAGTTTTTTCCTTACATTTAGTTTTTTGGAACCTAAGAAAAGTATGTGAATAAAATTTTATTGTCGGAAGTGGATTCGAACCCACGCCCACAAAAGAGGACTGGAACCTGAACGCAGC